CATGACTCCAGCAGAAAGATGATATCAAGCAGACTCAGCATCTAGGTGCATTGCCTTTGTACGCAATCTCATTCAAACATTGTGAGATTGTATCTTTTCCGAGTAAAAAAACTTAACATCACCACTTCTATATGAAGTTATATTCAGATCAAAAATATTCCCCAATTTATATTCGAACCCTAAAAGATACTATTAAATTCAAAATAATTTTATGACTATTACATCTTGCGAAGATATCTAGTCTAAGCGCGCAGTCTAGATGCTTCATGACATTTAATAGGGTATAAAAAGAAAGAGTGATTAATTACAGATATAAACAATCAAACATACAAATGGAAAGCTGTTCAATACACAAATACAATTAATTAATATGTCAATTTACACAAAGATTTTAAGTAACATATATTAAGAAAATGGAAATTATCAAACAACGAAATTGATCTACTTATTAGCACAAATTTATACAATGAGTACTGATAAGATTTCCTCTCGATGGTAATTTTAATTATGGAATATATCGTTCTTATTCAATCCATTACAATTCAAATCATGTAAACCAGTGGAGCAACAAGAGGCTACACAACAGGCTGACGCCGCACAGTAGCACAATGCAATGGACGATGCGAAGACACCTTCGAGTAACTGGGGCACTATAGATTATTTTTCGGGGACGAAAAATTTTCCCGAGCAGGGGAGTGTAAACATATTTATATTTTAATTAAATTCTTAAATTTCATCTTTAACCATCATATCTTTAAAATTCGTATTAGGCCCATTTAAAACTTGCTACTGATTCAAGTAAATCAAATATTACAATTTTCTAATACAAAGAGACATGTAGAATGGCACCGACGAGTCTACTAGTATCATATTCAAGGTCCCGGGCAATGGACGCACAACCTGACGTCTTCAGTGAACTGCTGATCGAAGTGGCAGCCAATCACAACGTTGAGCACCAAAGGGATCAACTATGATTGGACACTGTAGGCGGGGTTAATTAGAATGATGGGAAAATCTTAAAAAAAAAGGAAGGGACAGGAGGAGCAAGATGGCATCAGTCTGGAAGAAGATTTGCGAGGCTTAGGACGGGGTCGGATCGAGCAGGCCCCAAATTATATCAGGATTGGTAAAATCTGCCACCTGAATACGTCCTAGGCCAAACTACTTCACCTACTCAGCCCACGCCGAGAGAAGAGGTTCCAGGGGGTCGTCATCCACCATCGAGGACCAGGATCAACCACCGAGTCATCTGCCAACGGAGACAAGGGGAGGCCTGGACATCACGAGACGTCACCTCGGGGAATTCATCTACCCTCAAGATCTTCTCCTCGGTATGTCAAAATTCAATTATAATTCCCAGGACAACAAATTTTAGAAGAAAGAAGATAAATTTAAATTACATAAAAAAGGGCCTAAGTTAAATAACTGCAATTCATTCAAATTAAACCTAACTTAAAAATAAAAATTTAAAACCTAAATAATCGATGATATAAATCATAAATAATAATAAAAATATTATTTCCTGCTAAATAAAAACAACAACAAAATAGCCTTAAAGGTTAAACCTGTAAAATAATGTTTTTGAAATAGCCTAAGTAAGTTCTCATTTAGTATTTTATTTTCAAACGTGTATATTTGGTAGTTTGCAAAATGTGAATAGTCTTTGTTTGCAAAGTGTATTAATTTGATAGAATTTCATATTAGGATTGTGTATTAAGTTTTGTGAACTGGACTTTGGCCAAATGGCAAAGATGTAGATTAATAACATTTATGAATATCCATATATTTATATAAAAGGGTTTAATTAATTAAGAACGAGTCATTTTACATTGGTATTATATCTATCACTTTTAATCTTATATGTGTTCAATTCTCTTATCTTGATACTGGGGCCCCAAAAATGTTTAATTCCTTTGGTTAATACGTAATTTGGTTTATTGATCATCATATATATATATATATATAATGTGTTTTAAAGGGTTACATACATTAGACTAAATAATTAAATAACATTTAGTAACTCATACAATGGTGTCAGTTCAATCAGTTCCTGAGTATTCTCACATATACCAAGCGAGTATACTGAGCTTAGTTGTAGTCATTTTGTATTTTTCACATTTAAAGTAAGAACAAAACCCCACAAGTTTACAACGCCTTGTTGTTGTTTGCCAAGCCCAAATAGGGTTGTCTTGAAGTGTATACATTCTGATCAATTGCCAATTATATCCATCAATGTTTTCATGTATGATAACTATACAATTAGAGGGACCTGCTCCTTGTATTTGTATTTCATGTATTAGTTGTTGCGCCGTTTGCTAAAAAACAAATAATTAAATTATATAGCTGATTAAAATATAAACAATAATCTAGAAACTTTTAAAACAGCTAGAGCAGAGCCTAAGAGTATAAGACTAGTTTGCAACATATTATTTATATAGATTATAAATATGTTTGTTGCTTAAATTATAAATACTAATAACTTTTAAAGAGTTAACTTAATCACCTCACTATAGTCATCAAAACAAAAAACAAAATTCTTAAAGCTCTTGTGTAATTGATTACTGTGTAAAATCTGTCTAAATAAAAGGTTTAGTAAAATATATTTGATTTAGAGTAAAGTTTAAGATATGAGAGGTGACAAAAATACTTAATCTTGATATATTGTAAAAATCTAATTATATATATTTAAGTTATATAGCTTACCCAGGTAATCGGATAAAAGTTGCTTAATACATGTGGCGGGGAGCGAGGCGGTAAAAGCGGGTTAGCTTCTAAAATGAGAAGATGGCCAAAATCGTTTTGAAAAAAACTATCTGTCTCCATAGCAACAAATGGCTGAAAACATAAGTAGAATTAAAAACCTAATAAGTTGAATTAAACACTTAGATAAGTAGAAGTTTATCTATATAAAGCTTCTACTTACAACAAGAACAGAAGATTCAGCCTCTCTTAACATATCTCTTAAGTGTGAGTTAAAGACAATCCTTTTTGATATAGGTGCTTGCCGAACATTAGGTCTTGCAAGCAGTTGACGTTCTTCATTAAGAGTTATAGATGCACCATTTCTCTATAAAAAACATATTATGATTAATAAAAAATACTTTTTAAAAGAGACACATTATCTATATAAATAAAATTAGAGTTTTGTCTGTATATCGGATAAAATTATAAACTTTTTATCTTTTGGTTTTTTGATTTCTGATAACTAGGAAAAAGACCTTGAAATAGTGTTTATATAGGTGGGAAATTATATTTTTAAATAAGCATTTTTAGTCAAGATTTAGTATATAATTGATAGATAAAACTGATAGTAAAAATAAAAGTAGGCCTATTATGTTTTATTTGTCACCACTGGTGGTTTAATTTTGTTAAAGTGCATCTCATGTGATAGGATATATTAGGGTTAACTAGTAGATACAGATAATTAATCCTTTTATTGATTATTATATTGGTTTAAAACAAACAACATAAATTAAGTTATATATAATAGTTAGCATATCTAAAAATACATAAACCAACTGTTTTATAAGGTTTTAACTAAATACTATAAAAGTTTTATATTACACAGCTAGTGATTATATATTTTTAAATAAAACCTACCATTAATCGAAGTAAAGTCCAGACAAGATTAGGATATTCTTGTGATGACTATGATATGGACTCTAGTTTGTTCGGGAGGGTTACTTATCGACCACATATCTCGAATCCTATTTTGAGCATATTCCTAAAAACCATACATATATAGATTAAAAATAAAGAATTAGACAAACTACTACTACTACTGTTAGAGGTACTTAAACTACATAGAGACCTACATACCTCAGAAATTGTCCAGAAGCCCGTAGGTATAGGTCGTATTAGGTCTAGATTATCATAGTCTAATGTGACAAAGGAAAGGACATCCCCATGCACATTAATGAAGTAATGTTCCAAGTCAGCATTGTAGGGATATTGATCCAAAAAGGTCTCCAAACCACCACCCTACTGTAATAACAAATATATATTTATACAAAAGTTATGAATTAACTATCAAATTAAACTATAATTTAGCTCACAGCCCTAATTAACATATAGGCAAAATTTTATGAATATTTAAAGTCAGCTGTTGGTAAAAGTTGGTTCTATGATATACATTAAAATTACCAATAGGGTGCAGTCTATTATATTTATAAAAACAGCTTCAGCATAGACAAAAATATACAATGAGAACTAGTAAAATTGTTTACAGTTAGGTTTTTAAATTTGTGATATCTTTTTAGGTTAAATAATAAAACATTATAGTAAATGTGTATACAACAAATATAAATAAAGATGAATAATAGTTTACTTACAGTTTCTAAAATTGATCGTTCTCTTTCATCTCTTGTATCTCCTTCTATTGTTGCCCTATCCTATAAAAACATATTCATTGATAAAAAAACACTAACAAAGAGCTTTTCCTAATTAAAAATAAATAATTATTTTATAATAAATATATTAAAAAACACAAAGCTACTTTTAATTATTTATCTAAAGTTGTATAATTATATAGTACTACTTACTTGACCATTTGGGGGCAGATTTTCATCAACTGCTTCAGAGCTGATTAGTAGTCTCAATACAAGTAGTATGAAGAATAATAACACCATATTAGCTATGATGAAAACTAACATAACAATAATCCATATAGCAGCTACAGCTTATATATATATGATTGGAGGGAGGGAACATCTGAGTTAACCACATTTTCCACCTCCTTCCTAAGACAGTATTATCTGTCACTATTTCCCCTCCCCTCCAAAGCAATATTATCTGTTACTATCATCATTTTCTAACAAGATGCCTAATGGTGTGTGCTGGAGCTGTCGCCGCAACGTCTTTTGTTGCTCTATTGAAGAGCACTGGGGAGAATGGCTCTCCCTATGTTGCCAGTATGTATCTCTAAACTTAATTTATAAAATTTATTTCTCAAGGGTTTTTAACTTTATACTGATTCTAATACTCTTTTATATGATTTATAGATGCAGCGATATGACAGCAGAGGAAGTATTGACTGTCTATTATGGACAATATAAAGAATATGTGGCTGAATGCAGCCACGAACTAGAAGAGGAGGAAGAAGAGGAGGAAGAAGAAATAGAAGAAGATGAAGGAATTGAGGCCGATTTAGAAGAAAATTGGTAAATTTATTAAATATATTTTCACTTAGGTGACACAGGTTTAAGTTTATAGTAGGATCATTATTTTATATAACCATATAAAAACATATATAATGTCTAAAGTTTAAATATCACAAATATTTTTAGGTATCCACTTTTATTTTAGGGTCCACTAAATCCCTACACATATATTTTTACATAAAAACATACACTTAACTAATTAACCCACCTCCGACTAAGTTATTTGTCCAGTTAAAACTAAGCAAATTTTAACTTATATTTTTACTAAAAATATTTATCCCTAATTTAAATATCATTAAATTTAACAAACGCTTAGGGTTGCTACAGCAGGGAGTAGTAAAAGTATTTTTAACTTTAATTGTATAAAATGATATAAGCAAACTATAACAGTTTACAATTTTCTCCATAAAAATAACATAGAAGTAACTATTTGGCACACAATAATGTTTTAATCTACTAAATTATTTTTAGGTTAAAAACCTGTTTTACTTTATAAAACTCTTGGTTCAGCTATGTTGGTAGCCCCTAGGGTTATCAAAATAAAATTGGTTCTAGGTCTTATTATAATATATTAGCTTATTTCCTATATAGAAATTTTGCTAAAACCAAAATTTTATACAACTTTTACTAATTTAAATGATAAAAACTTATTAACAATTAAACTAAGTATTTTAAAACACAATTGTTATACAAATTGTCAAACAGCTACAATAGTTTTAACAATAACTTTCCTTAAAGATGTTTTTTTTTACATAATAATAAATATAGACTATAATAGGGATCAAGATATATATCATTTTACTTTATTTATATTGAAACTATAATTATAATATCCTACTAAAAAATCAATTTCTTATCTATATTATAAATTTAAAAGTTTGTGTGATTATATATATTACTCTTAAACAACTAAATAGATTAAGCTAAAGTTTAACACAATAATAATATATAGCCTCAAATATATACATATTTTATGAGTATTTAAAGTTAGCTGTTAAATCTATACATTAAAAATTATAAAATTCTCTAATAAGGTATAAGGTATTTATCTTTGTATTTATAAAAACAGCTTCAGCAAAGACAAAAATATATAATATAAACAATAAGTAGGATTGTTAACAATTAGATTTTCAAAATTGTGATATCTTTTTAGGTTAAATAGTAATATTCCAACTAAATTACAAATTAACTTTTGTCCTTCATTAATGCATAACTTGAGTATAACTGCAATACACCTTATATGCTAACCCAAAATAGGTATTTTGTTAGTAAAATAAATCACCGAGATTTGCTTATAAATATTTTATACAATAGTATTATATTTTTAATTCCCCAATAAATTCTCTATAATTTATATATCTCAAGATTTTTTTGTAAAGATTACACAAAATCATATTCGACATTGGTTTTACCACAGATAATAGACCGGATAAAACATGATAATAATTGACCATTTTTATAATTCTTATCTGACCCTATGCCACTAAAGATATCAAAGTCCGTTACAAGAAACCATACATCCTGTTGTACTATCCTCATCGTTATCGAGTACACTTATCACAGCGGATGTGTGTTTTTATTTAGATAACCCTTTCCGCCTGACAAATAATTTATATCTAGTATAGTTTTTCCTTATAAAAATTATATATACACATCTTTTAGCTTTATATTGGATAGGGTTTGAGACTATCCCCTCATTAAGTGAGGCCAAGTTAAACGTTATACAACCTATCCAGTTTATAATATTATATACCAGTTTATAATATTATATAATATTATATTGGTTGATGTTGTATAACGTTCTCTCCTTTATTTATAAAGCTTTTTTTGTCAAGTCTATAGATTTAGTTATATAACCCTACCAAAGTTAACATTCAAAGTTTGCGGGCGGTTTAGTTGGCCTCGCCAGTGACTTTCACTCGTGGTTTACGGGCTGTTTAGTTGGCCGCGCCAGTGACCAATAACATTCACACAAGTACAAAGAGGGGCACAGGTTATATCCAATCTGAATCCCTCAGTGTACACACATTCACACAAGTACAAGGAGTAGCACAGGTTCTTCTAAATCTGAACTACTCAATGTACACACACACTCACACCTTGGTCAGGTTACATAAGTATATATCTATAGACTTGTTTTTTTTACTAGGAGAGCTATATACATTAATATACAGTGAAAATTACAAAATTATTTACAAAGAAGTTTACATTTACAATACACTTTATGTGGCCCTTTGGACTTTTCTATATCCAAAAGGTAAAGTATCATATTGACCTTCATACCTCCTTTTAGGACCAGTTATTTTAAACACTTTGCTCTCAGTGATGGTGACGATGTCTCTGTCTCTAGTCCTTCTGATTCTACTTTCTTCAATTTCAACAGTCTGTTTTGCTTCACTCAGAACCATCTCTTTTAATTTTTCAAAATTTACAACTTTTGATGTTTTAAAGTTAAGGGTGAGGCCCTTGATTTTACATATTGGGATCAATTTTTGTTGATTGGTTGACCAGACAAGGTACGCGTAAGTTTTAGGCCCCCCAGAGACAAACTCAGTGATATAAGAGCCAGGTCCATACTCTACTAATTCGTCAGTCATTTCACCGAGGTAATCTCCTGTAGACACCCTATAAAGACCGTTTCCATATATGTAAACAACACTGTCAGTATCATAATATAATACTTGAGCTCCTAGGGCCTCAAGGTGTTCATAGAGCTTGAGTCTCGCCTGCGAGGTAGTGTAGGCCGCGATACAAACGTTTATGTTACCAAGAGGTTCACCTACCTCCATCAGGTATTCCCATGAAACTACAACAACCTCATTATTAACAATCTGAATTCTGTTTACTTTAATTTCTGGGCTAGAGAACATTTGAAATAGGGTTTTGGAGTCCCTAACAATTGTAGCCTTAGTCTGATTCTCCCTCTGACCAAATTTTCCCCAAAAACTGTTTAACATTAATTTTGCCAAAGATCTCAAACCTCCATTCTTAACAATCTTTTCTTTCTCCAACTTGATTCCCTCGTGTCCCAAATACTCTGCAATATACTTATTTTTGTCCTCCTCAGTCTTACACCATTCCGGATAGCCCGAAGCTTCCTGTTTCATCTTAAGAAATTTATTGATAAAATCGGTGAACAAACCCCCATTTTCATAAGTCGCTACCTGATACTCCCACAACTCATACATATCCAATACAATATACCCTTTCTCTACCGCCTTTCTGATTTCATCCATTGTCCATGTCCCAACTAATACCCTATCATCACTGTCATGATTACACTCTCCCTGATACATCATTTCCCCACACGTTCTGCACAACACAAACATCAATTTATCATTCATTTTTTTAGGGAGTACAGGGTGGTAGAGATCACGAGGCGGCAATACTTTACATTTTAACAAACCCTCTACACCCATACCTCTTTCACGACACTCCCTGTTTCCTACATAGATGGTTGGGTGGCCTATGGGGTACTTCCCATACTTACAAACATAAGGGTATAGGGAACAAACATCAACATACTGTATAGTTTCCCCCTCAACACATTTGTGATACGATTTTGCGTTGCCCGTCCTACCTCCAAAAAAAGCCTGCCTTGGATCAAGTGGGAGATTGTTTAAGATAGGCAAACTATCCAGATATTTAAGCTGCTGATCTTTTTTTTTGTTTACGAAATTCGCATTCCCACATCTCTACTAGTGCGTGTTCTGTAAACTTTGCATTTTTAGCCTTGGTTCGCTCATAGCGAAGATGTAGGCTATCAGAAGGATCCTCTTTTAAAGGAGCGTGACGGTTGTAAGGAAAACATTTAACACATCCATGGAAATAACAACCATTAAATTCGTAGATGTTCCTGCCATCAAAACCATCTACTTTCATTCCATTGACTTTGACTTCTTTACCTCGACCTGCGTGGTCAATCCTAATCCCGTTGGTTTCCTCGACCCAAGAAAGCCACTGGAGCGCTATATTTGATTGATTATCTACCAATCGATAGCCATTCTTAGGGATGAGTCCAATAGTGTTAGGTTTCAGGAAATTACGGCGGAAAGCTAGATTGCAGGCACTTGCAATGGTAACAGCCTCGAGAAACGGGTCAACATTACACTCTTTTAGGAAAATTGAGCGAAACTTTAGACAGGCTTGAGCCAAGATATCAACATCTGAAATACAATAGGCTAGGATCTCATTTTTGAAGTTGAACTCATAGTTACTAATGACCTGGTCGCTGTACCATTTTTCAAAGTCATTGTGGGATTTCTCAAACATAGATTTGGGACAGTAGTACTTTTTGTCCGGCATAGGGCCTACATAGTCTTGATTTGCCAGAGTATTGAACAGGTGGGGAAAGTAGCCTTTCTTTTTCTCTGGAGGTAGGTCAAAGGCTTTAGGCAGAGCAGGCAAAGCCATAGGGAAGTAGCTAAGTGAGTCAACAAACCTCACATTATCAATTTCCATTAGAATGATTTTAGTTCCCCGCATTACAAGTTCCGGTGTGAATTTTGTTTCTTCCAACATGTACTTTAGTAGAAATTGAAAGTCAAACCCCTGCCCATTGTGTGCAATTACACAGATTTTTTTAAACTGTTTCCTCACTGACATGACATAGTTCATAAACTGATTGATAGGGTCAGAGTCAAACACTCGTGTACGATTTTTACATGCTATACAGAATTTCCCCTCAATACACTGATAACAAAATTGCTGGGACACACACAAGTTTACTTTATGCACTTTACTTTCAGGGTCAGAGGGCAGAGGCTCATCCTGACGGGTTTCCAAGTCAAAGAAAATAAAAGCATAATCTTTAGATTTAGGTTTACCCTCATTAGGTTTCATATAACATTTATGGTTAGGATCTTTAAATGCTCCACAAGGTTTACAAAATACTTCCCCACACTTATGTGGGGTTGATCGTTCCTTAAGCAAAACTAGTTTCCCGCAATCAAGACATTTCTTTACATGTTTACACCTATCAACCTGATGCGCAATGAAACAGCGTTGGTTTTTATAAGTTAGATTGCATTTAGGACACAAGATTCCCCCATACACCTCTACACAAGGAGGTGAGATAGTCTGACACTGTGGGCAAATGTTTGAACAGCGGTGCTCACGTTTGTGATCATACGGGACATGACAACCATCACAGAAATAGTTACATACAAAAGCAGCAGTCAGGCTAGTAATTACATTGTAATGTCCATTATGAAACAACAAGTTAATTTTAAACTTGGGGTTCTCTACATTTCCCTCAAAATACACATCCCGACCTTTAGCGTTGTAGTTGTACACAGTGATTTTATAGTCTTTAAGCAGATGTTGGAATTTTTCAAGCTCAGAAATACCTGCACCACCCTCAGGCATCACGACTCTTGCTCTACGTACAAGTTCCTGAGCCCTAACAGTCTGTCTTTTTCTATCATCTTGTCTCACAGCTTTTTATTCGGGATCTTTAGTTATATTAGCTATAGCCACTACAATAGCACGAGGAAGACACAGGTTATCTTTATTGTTAATTACAACAATCCCAGTCCTAGCTTTACATTCTTCGTCAAAGGTGTTGTACAAGCCTGGTCTTCTACGGGTCCCTGATCCTACAGGTAGATTAACTCGGGTACATTCGACTTGAAACGTGTCTGTGGACTTGATTGATTCAGCGTTTGATTGCACAATTCCCCCAAAGATTTGCCATAAGACATCCTCGTTTACTTCATTTGCAGGGCGAAAAGCAACAAACCCCGGCTCTTTACTTTTTAGGTTAAGTGAACGCAGAGTGAATCCCAATTGATCGCCCTCCTGACAAACTTCTTTCATTTCATTTACAATTTGACCAAACCCTTGTCTTAGCCAGTCAATCTCAGTAGTTTCAGGTGGGGGGTTAGAAAACTTAAAAACAGTATTAATTCCATGAATTCTAAATCTCTTTACATAATTTTCATGTTTATCTAGAATATTTACAGGGACAACTACTTCAACAGAATCTTCTACAACATTTACAGGTTCATTATTATCAACAGATTCATTGGAATCTACTGGAGCAGAGTTACTTACATCCGTCATCTTGAAGCACTGGGAGCAAAGTGATGCAATAATGGCAGGGTTGCGATAAGGGTTTATATAGGGACAAGAATGACCACAAATGTGGTTATCAAAGGTGACGTGGTACACAAGAGGAAGTGATAGCTGTTGTTTTAGATGATGCAATACCACAAAAGTGGTTATCAAAGGTGGTTATCTGGTTGTGATTTGGTACACAGGAAGTGATAGTTGCTATTTTAGATGATGCAATACCACACAGGATGTCGACATTATATTTAATATTATATACTATATAATTATTATATACTAATTATGTTTATTATTTGTTTCAGATGGCTGCCCCTCTCCTCCTCCTCTACTAGCGCTAAGTATTTAGTTGTAGAAATATCAAAATATGTATATAATATAAATATAAATAATATAAGTTTGTATATATATATATATATAAATAAATTCATATTTAGCTTTCACAGTTGTTTTCATTATTCTTTCAACTAAATATCCAACATGTTTTAAAATTACATAATCTAATAGGGGGAGGCAATGGAAAAATTAGCAGGAAAGCATATAAGACAGAAGTGAGGTTATGTTATAAGAGCACCTAACCTGTAGTTGGCTAGACACTAGTGCTGTAACCTAGTAGAGAATTTGTAAACTATAACAAATCATAATAAAACATAAAATGAAGTTATTTTACTTAGCAGAAAAGCATATAACACAAAAGTGAGGTTATGTTACAAAATCATATAATCAGCTAACAGTAGTTGGTAGCACTGGTGCTGCAACCTAGTAGAGAATTTATAAACTAATACCTCAACTCAGAGTAATCTGTTATGATGAATCTTATATCAAGTCATCAATCATAATTATAATCAAGTCATAAATTATAATCATAAGTAATCATTATTATAACTATACCATCAACACTAGCGCTCTAGTGGTGAATTACAGACTGGTTTAGGTAAAAAGTGAGGTTATGTTACATATACAAGAGATCAAACCTTCAGAACTCATATACAAACAGTTAACTATACAAAAAAAAACACCCCAACCAGAAATAAATGGTGATTGGTAAGGATTAAACCCGTGAACCTCTAAGACACCCACTACAATACAACACTATACAAAAAACAATCCAAAGTAACTCATTTAGCATAAATTAGATGTAAGTTTAACATAATATATTTGGTGGCCTTTACAAAGGCCATTTTTTATAATCAATGGTAAAGTTTAGCCCTCTTTCAGCTGTTTTTAACATCAGATACATAAATTATCATTTGTTTCATCACACTATAGCATATATAGAATAACCTCCAATAATATATTAGTTAGCATTAAACCTCTAGTATAGGCTAAAATTAAACCCACAAACCTCCAACCAATATTTACACACCCTGTATATGTAAGTTACAGAGATACGCATATACAAATTATAATATCAACATAACATGCTCAACGGTAAAGTTTAAACACTATACACTATATAAAATAACCTCCAATACTACTACACATTTAACATTCTTTTATGATCAACGGTAAAATTCCACTTAAGCCCTCTTTCAGCTGATTTATATTTATTATACACTATAAAATAACCTCCAACATTTACCAATTATGATCAACAGTAAGGTTTAAACATTATACATTATATAAAGTGTTTTTTCCAGACCTTCTAGGATAGGATTGAACCCATAGACCTCTAAATGATAGGTTAGGATTGAACCCATGAACCTCCAATGATAGGTTAAAATCAAACCTCCAATACACACCCTGTATATATACATATGTTATATAGGTACAAGGTGTCATTTACCACCCTATATATAAGTTAAGGTGTCATTTACCACTATAAACTCTATATCCATAACTGCTGTTGTAGCTCTACCAGCTAACGCGTACAACTACCAATCAAAAGACCCGAGTTCGATCCTCGGTCAGGCCAACACTTTTTATCCATAATTTAATATTTAATTTAATAATTTATTTAATACAAACACCTACTGACGTCACGTGATCAGCTGATTATGCGCATTCGAGATAAACAGCTGAGAGTACCCTATCTACACCTAGATCATCTCAAGGTCAATTTCTGCCCGATCGCTGGGTAGCCTACTTTGGTTCTGTTCTATGATGTTCAATAGCATTAAAGTTACAAGGATTACCAACAGGGTGCAGCACTATTATTTCTTTTACATTTATGACAACAGCTAATTTCCAACCAAAAGGTGAGTGAGCGTAGCGAACGAGCTAACCTGAAGGCAAGTGAGCGCAGCGAACGAGCTCCAACCTAAAGGTGAGTGAGCGTAGCGAACGAACTTCAACCAGGACGTGATTGAGCCATGCGAACGAGATCATCTTGAAAATTAAGAAGTTAAACGGGGCAAAGCCCGCGGGTTACAGCTAGTAATATCTATACTTATTTAATACGCAAGCAGGTTTTTTGTGACAATTACTCCTCCGAAACTACTGAACCGACTGACATGTTTTTGGTGTAGTTGGAAAGAGCGTAACGTTAAGTTGTGCAGGAAACTTTCATTTTAGGGAAATAATTATAGAGTGAGGCCCTGGGGCCCTTTAAAGTTTTGTATTTCTCCATAAGATTAACAAGGGAAACAAAAATTATTATAAAACTCCAGCTGTTGCTAGAAATTAAAAGTGAGAAGAAGAACATATGTAAATTGTAAACAGTCAATAAGTTTGCCAATTTAACAGTTTACTACAAACATTTACTGACTTGGTAGAAATTAAATATTCACTATTTGAATTTGGGTTGGCGTAAATATTACAATGGAATAAAGCTAGAGAGCCTGGATGGATTGATATACTAAAAAGAAAACTCAATTAACACTGTGCTGCATTTCTTAGTAATCATTGAAAGAGCCGATTTGCAAACTATGGTAACATAGGAAATTCATAGAACACCACCAAAAAGAAGAAATAGAAATCATGTTTTTTTAGAATTTATAATCGTTATTATGGACAACCTAATGCGGCTATGAGTAAGGCTATTTGTAGAAAACACTAAAAACCAAGATCATCTTTTGAAAATTGATAAGATATTTACAAAAAAAGTTGATTATATCGATCTGTTAGGTACATCTTGAGTTTTTCCATAATCTTTGAGTCGAATCTTTTAAGTCACCAGAAATTATGACTGCTATTCGTTTAAAATAACGCCTGTAATACTTAGCAATTGCTCGAATTCGAGCAACAGGGACACTTGTAAATATATAAAAAACAAAGTCCTCACTGACTCACTCACTCATCACTAATTCTCCCACTTCCCATTTACCTAGGAGGCTGAAATTCGGTACATTGGGCATTAAATAGGTAAACTAAGTAGTTTTTATTCTGATCGTGCTTTCGGACTCCACCCCAGTGGCTCTGGAGTTTCTCATGTTAACCTTATGATTTTTCATATTTAAAAGGAACTAGCTGAACCCGGCAGACGTTGTCTTGCCTTTGACTATTTATAATTTAAGTACCGTTACGTTTAATTGTCTCGTTCGCATGGCTCAATCACGTCCTGGTTGAAGTTCGTTCGCTACGCTCACTCACCTTTAGGTTGGAGCTCGTTCGCTACGCTCACTCACCTTTAGTTTGGAGCTCGTTCGCTGCGCTCACTTGCCTTTCAGGTTAGCTCGTTCGCTACGCTAACTCGCCTCCAGGTTGAAGTTCGTTCGCTACGCTCACTCACCTTTTGGTTGCAAATTGGCAGTTGTCATAAATGTAAAAGAAATAATAGTGCTGCACCCTGTTGGCAATCCTTGTAACTTTAAAGCTATTGAACATCATAGAACAGAACCAACTTGTTTAATTGAAACAGCTGTTAAGATTCATTAATTCCATTTCTCATAAGGTTAACATGGGAAACTCCAGATCCACTGGGGCGGAGCCGATTAGACGGATCACGAAATTGATGGTGTATAAACCTATTCCATGACATTCTACACGTATGTACCAAGTTTCGTGGCAATCGGTTCAGCGGTGTCCGAGTTTATCACCCCCAAACAAACAAACAAACAAATATATATACAAACATCCTCTTTTTAACCGACTTCCCCACTACCAACAAAAGGAGGAGGTTCTCAATTTGTTTGTGGCGATGTTTTTTTTTTTCTATGTATGTTCACCAATTTCTCTGTGATTCTTTTACCGATCAGTGTGGTTCCACCACCAAAATAACCAGGAGAGTTTCTATTTGGTACCTTATATATTATGTTTAAGTATAATATTTGTTTCGGTGAAAAATTCTGAAAACCTTAAATATTCAACATTTATTTTGTTTACATTTGTGCAGATTGTTTACATTTGTGCAGAGAAGGCAATAAATAATAATAACATTCCTACAGCTGTTAGTTGAAACCATTTAAATGAAGCTACAGACATTTCTTCATGAAACAGTTGCTTCATATTGATCAATAAACTATTTCTTGCCATGGAGCCTAAATGAATTACATTGAGAAAAATGCATTTTGTTTTGGTTACTATAAAAAATGTATTTTATCGTTTGACCTGATTTGTGTATACAGTAATTCTGTTTTTATCAGTATTGAATATTCTGACTTACAAAAACATATATGTTTCAGTGAATAGCTGTATGATATTGACAAATAAAGGTGTATTGTGAAAACCAATTCATTCGTAAAACAGGTCTAAATTTTAATTAAATGCAATTATTCCTTACACGACCTAAGAAGTGTGACAGTGCATAATCGTCAACTGTCTTAAAAGTGTTAAATATTTTAATTACTAAACCTGCATTTGCAGATGTGGAATGTTTATTGATATTCTCTACACAAGTTACTATATCATACCAATACTATTACCGGTATGCCTGCTTCGGAAAGTCCTAGAGGAAGATGATTTGCAATTTCGACTAGGCTATATCTTGATCAAACAAAACCACCTACATGGCTTGCACCACCTTTAGCTGAACCAATCTTTCATATACATATTTCATTTGCAGATGTGGAATGTTTATTTATATTCTCTACCCAGTTACTATAACATATCAATACTATTATGCCTGCTTCGGAAAGACCTAGAGTAAGATGATTTGCAATTTCGACTAGGCTATATCTTGAGCAAACAAACCCCCCTACATGACTTTAGTAGTACATTTTCTGTGCTTTAGCTGAACCAATCTTTCATATAGTATTTTCCAAAGGTACTATACGTGTTAACGACCAATTTTCCACTTTTGAGAGATTTTTTAGTGCTGGTGGCTGAGGAATAACTTTCATATTGTTCCTAAAGACTTGAGACGTTACTGTATATCTTTTTATAATGTAGAAGTACACCGATTGCAGGAAACGATGATGTCTGACATTTCAATGTATCTAGAAAAGACAATTAGTTTTTCATTAGGCCTAATGT